ATTATATGAGGAGTCGTACTCAAATTTAAAAGAGACATATATAAATTTGTATGTAACTGAAAATGAAATAATAGTTAAGCAAAAAAAAATAATGTCAATAGATTAACGAACGATGATAAGAAGACTATCGTGCAAAATTTTGATGAATATAAATTTTTTTCAGTAGGGAGTTTTATTCTCAGACTTTTACAAATTCTTGTTCTAGAAAACAGCGGCAGGCTTCAGGTATTGGCATAGATCAACTCATAACATTGCTGGCATAAATTAAGAATAAAGGAGTATTTCTAATTCAATGAAATCCTCTTGTAATAAAATTGTATATGAGCTTTATTAATATAATTTAACATTTGAAAATTTATAAATTATATGTGTGAAAATGGTTTCGGCATACCAAATCTAATAAAATTATAAATAAAAGAATGTTATGCTCTAGTTAATGACAAAGAAATATCATTGAATGACCTCAAATGGAAAAACTCAGCCTCGAATTATTGTAATTTAACAGACTTTGAGAAGACATTAGGTTTATTTCGGTTCCGGATAAGTGAAAAATCAGCAATCTTATAGCTGGTATTCGGATTTCTCGATTCTATCCGGGCGTGCTTCCAGTTACTCCATAACGCCCACTGTGAGAAAGGAAGAAAATTCCTAATATTCTCCTTCACTTGAAGGCCAACTGGAGATCGGGGCAGATCCAGCCTATAAATCCTAGTGGTGACAAATTATCATCTATTACATTTTAATCTAGGCGCCGCTTATAGAGTAACTAGTGTTATTTCAGAGCAGAAAAAATGAAAAATCAGCGATGCCCTCTTTGGAATTAAAGCCAATAAAACGTGTTTCCAAGTGCATTACGAAGGTATGAAGTAAGGAAGTAGAATATCTCTCACAACATTATTATTTAATATTTTGGTCAATTTCTGTGAAATTTTGTGTGTTTTATGTTTAGAAAAATATAAGCCTTTATTAGATATAACTATTAGAACTAAGATATTGTATAGAAAGTAAAATTTAATAATTTTTTTAAAAAAAAAATAGGGTTAAAATTTAAAATGCAAAAAACAGGAATATTTGCTTCATTTAAAAGATTTTTTGTAATTGACTAAAATAAAAGTTGCATAAGGAATTCCTCGGATATGGATATGGATATGGATATGGATATATATATATATTATAACTAAATATAAGTGAAAGTTGTATTTATTTTTTAAGTAAAACCTATCTTAAAGTGCATATTATATGTAGACATATAAGGCCTCTCAAAAGTTTATTTTTATATCATTGTCAATAATTATAGTTTTATAATTTTTCGTTTATCCATGTTTTCCAGTTATCCATGCATTAATAAGAATAGATAACAGGTAATTTAGTGTTATATCAAAATAGTTCTACCACTAGCTAGTATGGATAATATCACGGATGCCTTTTCCGTTTTAGGCGAAAGAGTATTGGCTGCATAAAGTTTTCGTGTTTTTCCCCATGTGTAACGTAAATATAAGCCAATTTGTTTTAGAAAATATTCCTTACAGATATTCTTCCACAGAGAAATAACTCGTATTGCATTTTACCATAATCAGTCAATTAATAATACCCTGCCCCCCAAAAAACAAGAATAAAACAAAGCCCGGCGAGCAGAGACTTGAAAAATGTGACTAAAGACAAAAATAGAATAAAACTGATATGAAAACAAAACTGGAAAAATAGGTAATTATAACATTTTTTAAATAAGTTAGAACTGACGAATTTTGTTTCTTTTATTCTACAAGTATATTTGTTTTTGACATTAGTTAGAAAGTTCATTGAGTATTTATTATTTTTTAGCGTTTGAAAAGTTTGTTTTCTTATTCTATAATTTTGTGGTTTTTGAAAATTAATTCTAGGTTGCTACCGACGCAATTGTTTTAAGTTTATGGATTGTACTCCTAACAGATGTAGAACCATCTAGCACATTTGGCCTTTACTGAAGTTCATAAATATGAAATTTTCCACGGTTCATATTTAGACATTATACCCAAAACGGACAAGTTTTCAAGATGAGACCTTTATTACTCCTTTGTAAAACGTTTTGAACAATTTTTTATTAAATAATTTTGTCAAGAATTTCTTTTATAAATATTATTTTTATAAATATTTTATTTCTTTTATACAGCATTGCTTTTATAAACTGTAAGAACATCATACAAAGTTCACCCAAAATTCCTTACACGTGTTTCTACATACCTGTATACTGCAATATTTAAATCTCGTTTCTTTGACAGATTACTTTTTGTTTCAATCTTTTATATATTCTGCCACCAAAGCGTATTGCTGAAAGTTTTACGCTTTTGTAAATGCACAGCTTTGTCACATCCAGCATGTGATCATGTACGTTTGCAGTCAATTATTCTTAAAATATCATGTTTGGCACACTGATCGTGTTATCAAGACTTTTCCTTCCCCTATTTAGTGTATGAAATGTCCTGAAAATTTAATAAATTCGTTCTTTCTTTTGAAACTGCTCCTCATAGTCACATTCAAACATTTGACTACATGTTTCATTTGTTACGAAATTGATGAAAGCAAGAAATAGGTTGATTTCAAGTTTTATGTTCGAAACGCCAAAATTTAAAATATGAAAAGAAGTTAATGATAATCGTATATACCAGAACTTCTTCACGCACAGGGGCCCAATGTAAACTATGCATTGGTCTTCATGTGTTCATGTGCGCAGAACGACTACCGCAAATTATATTCTGCATAATCAATACTGAGGTCATGACATAATAAACATAGTTCACTTCAAATTATCTTTTTTATGCAACGTTTTAGAGAAAAAGCACCGACAACAATTAAAACACAATTTTATAGATTTTTTTCTTGTAAAATACTTACATCATTGAATAAGATATAATATGAATTACAAATTAATGAAAACACTGAGTTTGCTTACGTCAAGAATAAGCTCATCAAAATTAATTCTTATATGTGATATTTTCAATAAGTCCTGAAGGTATACCTAAGATGGTTAAAACAATTAAAATACATATGGATTTCTGCTGTCAGTAATATTAATAGATATCAATATTATTAATAATAATTTAGACCTGTCTAATAATAAGACGTGGACTGCAGAAAAGGGCTTCGTGGGCCACGTGTTACCTGGGAGTTTGCAACTAGTTATCAGTAATATATGTTAATGGTTTTCGACCATTAAGCGTAATTCTATTTGTTCGGTACGACAAATGCTTTAAGCGAGGGACACTAGGAATTCTGCATCAAAATATTTATTTACTATGAAATATATCTACATTAAATCAGCTGAAATAATTTGCAAACATAGTGTTAGCTGATTAACTCAAAATTCAAAGGAAGCAAAGGCAATTCAAAGGCTGCTTTAGTCGTCCTAAAGGTTTTGCAGTATTTAAATAATAAAAAAGGAATATTTTTGGTATCTAATTCTATTAATTAACTATCCTAGCAACAGACTACAAATTCTGTTTTTCATATCTAAACAAGATGATTTAGGTTACAATGGGATTTATACACACAATCCAAGTGTGTAAATCCTCTGTATAGCCTAAATCTTCTTGTTGTGGGTTAGGGAATAGTATGTTTTTTCCATATGAAATAAGACCTTTTCTACATTAACAGGACCATTTTTGCAATTTATATATAAACCTCTAACAATGTCTAATTTACAGTGTTTATACAATCAAAAGGACAACTTTCTAAATTTGCATATAAATTACCCTGTTTCCATTTTGATTTTCAGTATCTACCATCCGCGGGGAATTTCTGTGTTACTATCCTTTTTTGTTTTAATTTGTGTTCACAGCTGAATGTTGTATCACTATATTATGCAGTGTTATGCTTGAATTATGAAGAGTACTTAGATATGTACATAATTCTATTCATTTTGGATAAACAAAAGTTTTTGAAGATGTGGTTTAAAATATTATTGCAACGACAAAGCATAAAAGTGTTCTTCCTGGTTATAACATATTTTTGCAAAAATAATGCATTTGAATCCTTTAGAGAAATACTAATTAAATTGAAATCAAATCCTTTTTTCAATCATCTTTCTTTCTTTTCTTTTAATCTTTTTAATTGTTTTATTTTTCTTCGCTTATTTATTGATTTCAGAGTTAAGTGTTAAAGGTTATGAAAAGAGAAGAAAATCCTTTAGATCAACTATTACAACAAGGCTGAATGAACTTAGTAAATATAAATGTTCCTTAGTAATTTTCGGATAAATAAAGCTTACGTGGTAAGCTTTGTACATACTTTAAGATATTGAATCAAGTTATCAAATGTGTTTCACAAATCATTTTTAAAAATGTTAAATTTGAGGGTAAGAAATGTGTTAAAATTATAGGCTATCTCTTTACATATGTACGTATCTGTATATACACATACTGTCTTGAATCATATGTACGTATCTGTATATGCACATACTGTCTTGAATCATATGTACGTATCTGTATATACACATACTGTCTTGAAGTCACAGTACGGAAAAATTCTTCTATGAGGAATTGTGGAGTTTTATCTATAGGTAAATCAGTAATGCAGAAAACTCTTCTTTCCGTTGTCTTCAAACACTATACTTTGGTCTTGCAAACTTATTCCTCTAAAATCCATTATAAATAAATAGTTCTTCCCTTTACAATTTGCTTTATGTTATAACTTTGTAATTCATTTTCAGTGGTTAACTAAATGCTGTACTTAAAATACATCGAGAAGAACTTTGACAGAGTTTACACAGTTGCATGGAATGTCATACTAAAGAACGTAACTTTGGAAAACGTCTTGTTCATATTTTAAACGACAAGTCAGGCAATAATTCTGTTATAATGATAATAACACCAACGATAAGTCGTGTAGAAGACGTTTTCGAAACTTCTCTTGTTTAATAATAATCCAATGATTCATTTTGTTTTTATTCAAAGTTGAAAATTCTTCCACACTTTTCTGAGTTGAAAAGAAAGACCTATAACAGACGAGAATTTTATTTCCTACAGGCAACATGTTGTGTTCAGCAGGGGCTCGGAAAGGCAACACAGTAGGGCCCGCAAGTATCACAGCCTAGATTCTGCGGTCAGCCTCGACATAGAGACCAGCTGCGGTTATCCGGACAGCTCCCCTTCTTCAAGGTATTTTCATTCTCTCGTACTGGATTGATCCCCCTCTCGCGTACTGGATGACATCCTTTCACAAGACATGTAGTTAGAGTAGTTCTGCACAGTAGAATTCGACCCTGTAGAAGTTGCTTAGGTAGAACTTTGAAGCATGATGCACGTGGCCTTATTTAGCTTGTCGTTGCTTAAGAAAATAATTCATTGAACGTAATGCCTAGGAGCACTTAATCCAGCAAACCGTAGCAAATATATTTCTGACTCAGTTATAATAGAATTCTTAAAAATAAACCGTTGCAGTGAAATCCATTTTATTTATATAGACTGTAAGCAACAGCAGCTTGTCAAATTTGCACATTTTAGTACTTCAATATACAAAAGAAATATATTTTCTCGCATTTTTTTCATTAAATGAATATTATTATATTTTTATATGGCTTACCCATTGTAAACAGCAAGCGAAAAATATTTGTCCGCTTGTGGAATTAGAATGCAGTTAAAAAAAATTCTTTTTTAAGTAATTCGTACTGAATATGGTATTTCACTAGTACAAACGTATTTGCAAAATAAGGAGATATCGATCAAAAAACATCACAGCTCCCTGTGAACAGCGAATTACTGATTATTACGTATATTACTTATACTGAATTATGTGAATTCAGGTCTTGTCTTTGAAAAGTGTGTTTATTGTTTCAGCAAAGACATAAGAAATGAAAAATATTGATTTTATGTCATGATAAAAACAAATTTAAACTTAGTTTCCCTATTTGATTAAAACAATTATTTAAGCGTAAGCCTCAATATTTTGATTTAGTAACATTTTACTGAGTATCATACTCTTTATATTGGAGGAAATTATAGTTTTAAAAAACACATGAACACATGAATGTCTTTTACCATAAAAGAAATTAAGGTAATTATTTTATTATTAAGGTAATTATTTATTATGTGTCAAGTTATATTTTAACTTGACACAAAATCGTGATTTCTTAAATGCTATAAATGAATTAAAAGGGCAGAATTACTATAAAAAAAGAACCTGCTCTAAAATGTTTTTAGTTTTTACTCTATCTTTTTTTTTCCTTCGTTACTTTCTTTTTATTACATATAACACGGAAATAGCTGCAGGATGTGTTAACAGAGTTATTACATATTTTATAACAAGTGAGCGTTTATTTTCGACATTCTTCTAATAAGGGAAGGTAAGTATAGCTTTTATTACTAAAACTTCATGCATTTGGTTTTAAAATTCACAAAATCTAGCAATATTCTTTTATTTTACCACTACTGTTAACAAGGAACTGCTCAAATAGAACACATTACTAAGAAACGAGGAAAATAGCCGCAAATATTAGTTTGAGTTAAAATGGTGACATATACGTTACAAAAGAGGTATAGCACCATGCATAGATGTTGTTAGAAAATGTCACTATATATATATATTTAAATAAGATAAAGCTAAAATTATTAATAATTATTAATCAGATAAGAAAATTCCCACTTATTAAAAAATAATATATATGCAAACAATAATAAAAAAATCTTTAGTAGAGACCGGTAGTTTTATATTTTGGTTCTGTCCATCTAACTATTATAAAAACCAAAGATTCATTCGCACGATTTCGTAATTTTCATCTCTGAGAATAAAGCCTATACATATTATATTTATATTCAGCTCTAGGGTATTACGTCCGCTAGGACGTTTCAAAAACAAAGTTAGTCAATTTTATTGTTTTATCATTAAACAAAAGAAACTGATATAAAAGACTTCATTGGTTTGATTAGCAGGCTGTTAGAAAACTATGGTTTGAGGGTGTACGGATTTCTGCCATAGTTCGAAGAACTTAAGATCTTTAATTTACAGAAATAAAAACAAACATTTCATTCATCTCGCGTCATACTTTCTGTAGGCTATTATGGCGGGATTGTATTGAAATACATAGATAGTATTTAAAATATGATACCATTGATTACTTCGAATTTGTCTACAACCAATTTTTAAGGTTTATGTGCTTTCGTTTAGACAGTATATGATTAAACTCTAGTGTGAAGACCATTTTTCTTTTAAACGAAACAGACTAGCATCTGCAGTAGGATTTTAACTTATAATTTGTAAACGTGTAATGATGCATGCAGACAATCATGAATAGCTAAGAGCACGTTGTTTTAAAAAGAGTGTTAATACGCATACTATAATTTAGTATAAAATATTTTGATAAGGCTGAAGCTTTCATGAATAATGAGTAGTGCAGTAAGAAATTTTAAGTAACGTCTAGTTATTTTGAAGCAGGCACAGAGATTCTCTTTTACTTCATAAAGCCGGATTTTCTCAAATACTAAAATACTAGTTAGTCAGTTTCTAGCATGGGAATTTCGGTGTTATATCCAAGGGGAGAGGAAGAGAGAGAAAATTCTGTTGTTTTTCTGACTTATATCGCCTGTCCGATAGAAAAACTAGAACAAGTCCCCTCGAATTTCATGGTGGCCAGGAGTGCAGGATTGCGTTTGTCGTTGGCATGAGTCTTGAGCATCATATATATGACAGTACGATTTTGTCCAGTTCCATTCCAATTTTGAAGGAGATTTCTCTGGAAGATGGGACAAGGGTCCCTTAACTCTCTTCATCTTTCACCAATTTTCCATTTACAAATTATTACCATTCACCATTATTACAAATTACAAATTATTTACAAATTATTACCATTCACCATTATTCCATTCCAATGGGAATAATGGGACAAGGGTCCCTTAACTCTCTTCATCTTTCACCAATTTTCCATTTACAAATTATTACCATTCACCATTATTACAAATTACAAATTATTTACAAATTATTACCATTCACCATTATTCCATTCCAATTTTGAAGGAGATTTCTCTGGAAGATGGGACAAGGGTCCCTTAACTCTCTTCATCTTTCACCAAAACACTCGAGAGGACTTTAGGCTTGCCATGCATTTTAAATGCCCCCCCACCCCACGAAGAATCTGTACTACACCCATGCCGAGATTCAAGCCTTGATCTAACAGCTAGCAGCGCTAAACATTATGCCGATCAGAGTGGCAAAACAAAATTAGAAAACGTCGGAAATTGCTGTATACGTATAGCTTAGTAAGAATATTCGAAAAGAAATGCGAGAAAGATTCCATTGCAATTTATTTATTTACTTTTAATATTTAAGACTTAAAATAGCATTTGTCTATATTTAGCCGCGAAATAAGATCAAATACTTTATATGAGTTCAAGATATGAAACGCTACTAATAGACGATTGCATCTGATTGTTATAGATCGTCAAATACTCTTCATGTGAATAAAAAATGCGAGAATAAGGCAAATCTTATTATAGGTAACAGAAGAGATTTTGGTGTGATACAAGTATGGTACCAACAGAATTTGAAACATCTATGCCTTGAAGTTTTCTCTCGAGAGTATTATTTTAAAAAATTCTCTTGAATTTCTTTCGACTTTAATAAGAAAAAAGTACTCAAGTGGTAAAAACAGGCAATTTATCAGAGTGTAGAGGTGAAATTTTGAATATTACCCGTAATATTTTCTCTGTTTTACACTTGGAGCAGGACATTATTAACTAAAATCGAGTACTTATTTCCAAGAAAAAATTATTGGTAATTTAAAGTAAGAACGAAGAGGCATTTAACACCATCAGGCTACACATAATTTAATCTTGGTAGAAATGCTGGCTTTGAAAAAAAAGGGAAAGAGAGAAAAGGAAAAATAAGTACATTTTCGCAATTATGGCCTTTTAACGTGTGCAAAATTTAAGCAAAAATATTAGTGAAAATATTTATTTATTTAGTATAAGTAACAAAATTAGAAATAGAGGAAACTAAACAGTAAGCTGATTGCTTGCTTTTTTTCTTTACTGCTTAGTATCATATACTACTGTATATGGTATTTACTCCCTCCTTCCAGCCTGCCTTCGTGGTGTAACAGTTAGCACAACTAGCGCGTATCACAAGATCACAGGTTCCAGTCCCGGCGAAGGCATTGCATATTTTTCAGCTTCCTGACATTGAAAATAACCAGTGGCGCCCGAACTAAAAGGTGATGCGATTGGGTCCCCTAGTTCCCAGTCTCCCTTTAAAAGGGGAAGTATATAAGGTATTTTCTCCCTCATTCTAGCATGCCCTTGTGGTATAACGGTAGAACACTCGGATGGTGTTCGAGAGGTCCAGGTTCGAGTCCCGGCGAGGGCACTGCTAATTTTTCATGTCTCTAGCTTCATAATAACCTAATGACTCTACAACTGTATATGGCTGTACAGCACTATAAATCACAATTTAAACTGATCCGGAAAGTAAATTCTGAAGTGTATTAGTTACTTTCTTTTATTTCTTAATATATGAAACTGTTAATCCAATATAATATGATTTGATGAGTTGCAAAATGAAAAAGCATTCAATATATTGATGTGGAAATGGGAACTTAGCAACACTTGTCCATTTGTTGAAGAAACTAGTAATCAGCAACAATAATCATCTTAACATGACGAAATTTGCAAGTCTATTGATTTCGAAAGTTAAATAGATCCTTCCTCTTCAACTTCGGGAGTGAAAAATCCAGTTTCAATTCCAGCACTAAAGTTAGCTATATTTCTATTTGTTTTTCTGCGAGCTCCCCATTTCTCTCCTTTTATCTTTTTTTTAACACGCCTTCATAGTTGAAAAAATTCCTTTTGCATCTAGTAAAAAATTAAAAATATATTTCTAGGAGGTAAAGTCAACTCAAAATTGTAGCAGTACTCTTTTTGCTCCAAAAGAAGAATAATCTGTGTCTGATCACCCTCGAAATTAATACAGTTTAGTTCAAAAACTATGCCAAAATAAGGTTACTGTTTTGCTTAATTTTGAGTGATTGCCAGCGGCCGAGTGGTAAAAATTGGTGAACACTTTGAGTTCCGACTTGGGCTTGATTCCAGGCAAACGGTGTGGTTGCACGGGCGTTTCCGTGGTTTTCCCCATGTGTAACATATATACAAGC